AAATTCTAGCACTAATGTAGCTTACTATCCCGTTACTAGCACAATACATTTTAGGATATCAGTGTGTATTGTATAATGTAGATTACGGAAGAAAAGTACAAGGTTTGGGGGGAAAGGAAAGAATTCTCAGGAGCTAAGATTTCCACTTACGAGTCATTATATTTTATACTGAAAGTATTTAGTTTTGTTTTATATGATAAGTTGGTCTACACACTACCCTCATCTATGACTCCCACCCCCTGGGGCTCTTTTGCTTAGTAGTTGCCAGGTTGCAAAATGCAAAGTACCCATCCTGTGGTTCTAGCTACGTGGATCCAAAGCACAACTAGGCCAGGCGCGATGGCTGACGCCTGTAATCCTAGCACTCTGGGAGGCCAAGGCGGGCGGATTGCTCAAGGTCAGGAGTTCGAAACCAGCCTGAGCAAGAGTGAGACCCTGTCTCTACTATAAATAGGAAGAAATTAATTGGCCAACTAACATATATAGAAAAAATTAGCCGGGCATGGTGGTGCATGCCAGTAGTCCCAGCTACTCGGGAGGCTGAGGCAGTAGGATCCCTTTGAGGTTGCTGTGAGCCAGGCTGACGCCATGGCACTCACTCTAGCCTGGGCAACAAAGTGAGACTCTGTCTCAAAAAAAAAACAAAGCACAACTAATCGGGGATTTAGCTCCCCCTAGTGGTGGTGTATAATTTAACACACATAAACGTCAGAAGTTGAAAGGAATTCTAGGGCTTATCTGTGAATAGTTAAAACCATATATATCTGTTTGCCTTCAGGTCCCCAGCACCTAACACTGTGTCTAGCCCACAGCAGGAGCTTGGTGATTACTCCCTGACTGCACAAAGCCCTTAAGTGTACAGTCTATCACGTGGTCCAGTAGTTGGGCACCTGAGGGAACCTCAGTTCTGCTGGCCTTGGACAGATCAGTTCATCTTGTTGATTATTAGCTCGCTTATTAATAAAATAATAGTAGTATCTACATCTTAAGATTTTTGTGATAACTAAGTGAAATAATATAATTAGAGTGCTTAGTAGAATGCCAGACATAGAGTAAATGCTCAGTAAATGTTGTTATGGCCTATTTCCCCAGAGTACACGCTTACTTCATTTTTTTTTTTTTTGAGACAGAATCTCACTCTGTTGCCCTGGCTAGAGTGAGTGCCATGGCGTCAGCCTAGCTCACAGCAACCTCAAACTCCTGGGCTCAAGGGATCCTCTTGCTTCAGCCTCCCGAGTAGCTGGGACTATAGGGATGCGCCACCATGCCCGGCTAATTTTTTTTTCTATATATTTTTAGTTGGCCAATTAACTTCTTTCTATTTTTAGTAGAGACGGTGTCTCGCTCTTGCTTAGGTTGAACTCCTGACCTTGAGCGATCCACCCGCCTTGGCCTCCCAGAGTGCTAGGATTACAGGCATGAACCACCGTGCCCGGCCAGACAATGACTTTTTATGTACAAGGATGTATAATTTTTAAATACTTTCAATCTGAGCATTTTAATGCAAATAAATTTTCCTTTTCAAAAAGATACACAAAATTAATACAGCCCCTTCTTTATTGAAGCATGCAGCTATCATTACATCCTGGGAAGTAAATCTGGGCTAGGCTCTTTGTTAAGGGGGTCATATGAAGTTAATTTGCATAATCCTTGTCCTTGAGCTTGGTGGGGAGACAAGTGAAGGGAGACGGGGCGCGCTAGCATGACAGCCAAATGAGGGGCATTTGGGAGGCTGGAGTGGTAGGTCAGAAGGGGGTCATTTTTAGAAAAGGCAGCAGGCTAAGCAAAGGCAGAGAGGCAGAAGAGGGCCCAGCACACAGAGAGCTGCGCAGAGTTTACCTGGCCGGAGCAGAGGGTAGCAGGAGGCGTGGCCAGTGTGCACTGCAGAAAGGCCACCCCGAGCTCATGTGGATGAGCGGCCAATGCAGCAATGAAGGAGCAGCCAGGAGAAAGTCCCCCAGAGAGTCCTGGAAGCAAAGATGAGTCAAGAAGCAGAAGGCCTGAAACAGGCCCTTTCGCTGTGACAATGACAATGTTACTGTGAGTGTGGCCTGGGATAATTTTGCAGCAGGGACTCAGGGGAAAATGGGAGAGGAGGCTTAGGCTGATAGTAGACCAATGCCAGCCAGAATTTTGGGTGTCACAAGACCAGTTTTTAAAAAATCAAAATGAAACAAAATGAAAATAAGAACTGAAATAAGTTTGCTGACTTCTAAATTTTTCCAAGTAAGGACAACTTTAAAAAATGATCATGTATTATTATAACCACCATTTCATAAAGGAGAGGATATTTTAATCCTCCCCAAAATAGGAAGGCCCTGCCATCCACTAAAGGATAATAGTCAATTAAATGAAATAAGTTTAGCTTTATGAGAAACTCTATGCCATCCTTGTTTTTCTCATCTCATCATAGATTATAAAAAGTCACAAACTGATTGATGATGCCAGTGTGCTGAGTGTGAACTACCATGTAAACCATTTTTAGAGAAGAAAAGAGATTGGATAAGAATAAAGAGTTTTCGTTTTTTGAAGGATGAAATTGATTCGAGATAAATTAATGTGCAGAGGGGGGGCAAAACAATAGAGAGAAAGATACAAAAATCAGAACTAAATGCAATATAGTAAGCTAGACTGGACCCTGACACAGCAAAAGGACATTAGTACAAAAACTAATGAAATCCAACTAATATCTGTACTTTAGTTAATAATATTGTACCACTAGTAATTACTTAGTTCTGATTAATGTATCCTGGTTATGGAAGATGTCCACACTGGGGGAGATGGGTGAAGGAAGGAGATATATACAAATACATACACACACACACAAACTCTCTATATTATCTGTGCGACACTTTTATAAATCTAAAATTATTTACAAATAAAAAGTTTTTACAAAATAACAACAACAAACAGAAGAGGAAAAGGAGATCAACTAGCCCCAGGTGGCAGCCAGCGCTGAGCTTGAATGGGAGGGACACCAACCGTCCTGCCAGGAGAGGGCAGATTTGGACATGGCCACAAATGTGTCCGCGTGGTTATAAACTTGTCCCCGGAATCTGAAATGGAAACCTTTTTTTTTTTTTTCATTAAAAAAGTAGTTAAATGAAATAATTTATAACGAGAGGACAACATAGGTAACAGAACACGGATGAAACTTGGATTGACAGTGGAAATAAGTGGTTAATGTTACACGGAAAGAAAAAGGCAGCAGCCCGCTGTGTTCCAGCTTCTGATGACTCTGCTCTGCGCGGAGGCCGAGGGCTGAACTCAGCAACCTAGGAAGCCAACTCGGGAGCATCCAGTAAATGCTGGAGGATATTTTCAAGACTGCACTAAAATATAGCAGCGCGTTGAGAGCGAAGTGAGTAAAACTTGAAGACGGTTGCTTGACGTAAGGAATAATGCTACAAGACGCTACAGAGCCTGGCTGGTTCCTGCCAAATCCTCTCGTTTACTCTCAGGAGCAAACCCAGGCCTGCCTGAAGCTTTGAATAGATCCTCGCTAGTAGATTATTTACATAAGGTTCTCTTTTCATTTAAAGTATGAATACTCAGATTCTCAGCAGCAGCAAATATAAAATCTCAACTTTAAAATGCTTTTTTTAATGGCAAAATATATATACAATAGTACTTGTTTGGGCCCTCCATCGTTAGGAGAAAAATTCAGGTAACAAAAATTTTATGTGTGTTTATATATATTCTCATACTCAAAGGGAATATTAAAATACTATAATACAGATTATATTACTTAAAATTAATTCTCTTTTCTTTGAGACAGAATCTCACTCTGTTGCCAGGGCTAGAGTGCTGTGGCATCAGCCTAGCTCACAGCAACCTCAAACTCCTGGGCTCAAGCGATCCTCCTGCCTCAGCCTCCTGAGTAGCTGGGACTACAGGCATGTGCCACCATGCCCAGCTAATTTTATCTATATATTTTTAGTAGTCCAGCTAATTTCTTTCTATTTTTAGTAGAGATGGGGTCTCACTCTTGCTTAGGCTGGTTTCGAACTCCTGAGCTCGAATGATCCACCCACCTCGGCCTCCCAAAGTGCTAGGATTATGATTATAGGTGTGAGGCACTATGCCCGGCCTTTATTACTTAATATTAATTTTAAAAATAAAAATTTTTTATTTCATTATTGTGAAAAACTGTTGGCTTTTTAGGTAATAAGATTATGATTTGAATCATCTTGGAAAATGTTGTATGTGTTCTTTTATGAATGGACATAGCCCCAATACATAACAGCTAAAGAATCGTGCTAGTCAGTGTTCTTCAATTGCAAGGAACAGATGCCAACTCTGATTAAACTTAAGCCCAAAAGGAATTTAATGGAAAATGAGTACATGTGTGATTGTGGAGAGGGGCTGGCGGCAGGAACCAAGGCACCTTCCAGGATCCAGAAAGTGGAACTAAGAAAGGTCACATCAAGGCCTTGACAGCAGCTGGGATCAGCACTGTATATTAGTGTCATTCTGCTGAGGATCTAAAGTAGTGAGAGAGCTCATCTGGTCAGCTTGGGGGAAGGGGGAGACACCAAAACCACACATGTTGGAAGAAATGGAAATGGATGTGGAGTAGTTACTACTTGCTTTATTCTCTCATGCCACCATGCCTCTGCCCAAGCCTGTTCTCAACTTGGAATGCGCTTGACCTAGACCTCCAGTCAAACTCCTATTTTACCCTCAAAACCCAGATAAAGTAACACACTTCTGTGAAGCCAGGCAGAGGAAATCCCTTTGCACTGTCTTTGTTCCTTACACACATCCCTTGTTGAATTGCTCACACTATATTATTTGTATGTGTATATGTAAGTTCCTTGAGAGCAGAAAAAAATGTCTTTTCATCTTTGTTGCTTGTGTGCCTGGGATAGTGTCCATCACAAAGTTAGTACTCAACAAATGATTGCTGAAATAAATGCAAATAATAAACCACTGCTATATTCTAAAAAATTGAAAAAGTGCATGGAGAATTCTATACGGACAATATAATCACCTGTTACCTTTGCAAATCTGCGTGATGTTTGAGAAAGCCTGGCAACATCTTCAAGATCCAGATAAGATATGATACGCAGGAGTAAATTGTCTGAGAGCCGTTCAAGGAAGTCTAATTTGCCTTCACACAAATTGAAGACATACTCTACTATTTTGGCACCAAATACTACGGCAATTTGAACTGTAATTCAAAGAAACCAACAAACCAACATGTTTATCATGCGCAGTCACATAAAAACTGTAATAATAATCAGTGGGACACAAGCTTTGAGACATTTTTTTTTCCCCTGAGAGTGATGTTAAATTATGCTAAGTCATGCCTACTTCCCCTAAGCTGACTTTGGGCCTGCATTTTTGAGGCATTTGTTTTCAACTGCTGTCTCTGCTCTGAGATTAGAATCTTTTACGGACACTTGCTATTTAGCACAGTGGTTTCTGCACCCCCTTGATCTCATCAGCACCAAACTCCAGCCTGTACCACTGACTTAACTAGTCTCTGCGAGATCCTCACAGCCCCCCTGACTGGGCAGCTACATGGAGGAAAAAGATGCAAGTCTGTGTGGTTTTTCTTCCCTCTCCACTCTCCACTGGGCTGAAATATACCGTCTTCCTAATTTTAGTTGATTTTCATTCTCTTATTTCTACATGTTGTTCTCTACTAAACTTCCTCTTTACCTTCTTTCATCCCTATCTTCATACAATAGAAAAAACAGAAAGAGAGGCAAGGAGAAAAACAGATGACTATTTCATAAAAATTATTTTAACTTGTACCTACTATTTTTCATACCTTTTCATTTATTTCCAAATTAGGAAATAGTTCATAAAGAATCAGCTGTTATAATATAATGGTCTAACTAACCATTTTCGATGTAGGAAAAAGGAATGAAGGAAGGAAGGAAGGGAGGAAGGAAGGCAGGGAGGGGAGAGGAGAGGAGGAGAGGGGAGGAGAGAGGAGGGGAGGAGAGGGGAGGGGAGGGGAGGGAAATGTAGTTGTTGAAATCATTTGGCTTTATCACAGAGGTCTTTGTGGATTGGCCTAAATACTTAACCACAACTTATAAGTCATTTCAAGATCTAAATAACCAACTTCAAAATGGATGCCCAACTTTAAAATGGACACAAGTTGGAAAACAAATTTTTAAGTTGAATTTGACCTCAACCCATGAATCAGTACTTTCAGCTGAGTTCATGTAGGTACACCTTTGCCTTAAACTAAATTAAAAAAAAATATTTCCAATAGCTAATTTTCTGGGTTTTTCTATTTTGTTTAACTCAGGAAAAAACTCATAGATGTTTTCCTCAGATTTCTAAGGGTCTCAGAAAAAAAAAAAAAAATTCAAACTTCAGAGACAAATGGACAAAGGATACAAACAAGCAAGTTACAGAAGGACTATAAATGGCCATTAGGCATGACAGGATGCTCAACTTATTAGTTATCAGGGAAATGCTAATTAAACATGATACTATTTTTACCATCTGACTGGAAAAAATTTTTTTAAAGTAGCAATATTTAATCCATGATGGCAAAAGGTGTAAAAAACACCTATTTATCCTGTTGGATGGAGTATAATTAACACATTAGTTTTTTGGAGGGCAATTTGTGAGGATAGTGAAGTGACTGGTATTTTGCATAAGTTTTGAATTACTCAAAATTGAAATATTGTGACATGAAAACATTAATGAACTTTCACTTTAGGCACAAACATTAAAATAATGTAAATCACCCAACCAAAAATTTTTTCAAGAATGGAATAATTATAAAATTGGCATAATTATAAAGGCCATATGCATTGTAGATGGCATTTGTGCTGTGTCCCATAGCAATGCCACTTGAGCTCATTGACAGAAATACCATCCTTTGTCAAGTTAAACTTGAATTACGCAAGATTTTTAAGAATTTACCCCTCAAATAAACTCTGTCCAATTGGATAAGGTATACTTGTATATCTCTGGACCTAGCAATTCCACCTGTAGGAATCTGTATCACTGACATTCTTATATAAGTGTGCAGATATATACGTCCCAGAATGTACGTAAAGGCTTTGGTAAGAATAGCAAAACCTGGGAACAATCTGCAAATGCCCATCAATGGAAGGCTGTATATTTGTGCAACAGAATACCATATAATCTTGCAAAAGAACAGGGTACTTCTTTATGTACACTAACCGAAAAATGATCACAACATATTGAGTGCAAGAATAAGTTAAAGAGCTAAAGTCTGATTTTATTTTTGTAAACACACACAATTCAAACAGGAAGAATTCAGATGCAAATGGCATTATTTATAATGATTATCTCTCGAGAATGAAGCTTGAAGGAAGAATTTTTCACTTTTTAAATTTTAAAAACTGTAATAGCTAGAATTTATTGAGTACATATTATGTGCCAGGCAAGTTCTAAGCATTTCATTCACTTAATCCTCATAAGGACTCTCTATGCAGTAGATGCTGTTATTATTTACATTATCAACAGCTCAGGAAATTGAGACCCAAAGATATTAAATAATTTGCCTAAGGTCATGTACCAAGTAGGTACATGGCCAGGATTTGAACACAAGTAGTCTGCATTAAGCGACATTCTTAATCACCATGCTAACACTTCTCTACACTTTTTAGTGTATGAATAACTTTTAAATAATAACATGACAGTTTTGACTTTTTCTCTTTTTTTGAGACAGAATCTCGCTCTGTTGCCCCGGCTAAAGTGCAGTGGCAACCTCAGACTCCTGGGCTCAAGTGATTCTCCTGCCTCAGCCTCCTGAGTAGCTGGGAGTATAGGCACATGCCACCATGCCCAGGTAATGTTTCTATTTCTTGTAGATTTGAGGTCTTGCTCTTGCTAAAGCTTGTCTTGAACTCCTGGCTTCAAGGGATCCTCAAACCTCAGCCTCCCAGAGTGATAGGATTACTGGTGTGAGTCACTGTGCGTGGCCAGTTATGTCTTTTAAAAATGCAAATCTGGGCCAGGTGCAGTGGCTCATGCCTGTAATCCTAGCACTCTGGTAGGCCAAGCTGGGACGATCCTTTGAGGTTAGGAGTTTAAGACCAGCCTGAGTAAGAGCAAGACCCATCTCTACTAAAAACAGAAAAAGTTAGCCATGCGTGGTGGTGAGAGCCTGTAGTAGGCAGCTCTAGAACCTACAAAAGCAAAGAAAACAGATTCCTCCTTAAACTCTCCAGAAGGAACACAGTTCTGCCAATACCTTGATTTGAGCCCAGTAAAACTTCTGAACTCCAGAAATGTAAGATAATAAATTTTTATTGTTTAAGCCACTGTGTAACAATTTGTTATAGCAGCAATAAGGAACTAATATAATCATTAATTACGAATTTAGTAAATATTAATACATACAAAATTACAGGACATGGTCTACATAGAAAGTTTGGATTTTGTTATGGGGTGAATTGTGCCCGTCCACCCCAAATTCATATGTTGAAACCCTAAACCCCACTACCTCAGAATGTGACCCTATTTGGAGATAGGGCCCTTAAAGAGGTAATTAATGCCTGCATGGTGGCTCACGCTTGGAATCCTAGCACTCTGGGAGGCCCAGGTGGGAGGATCGCTAAAGGTCAGGCATTCAAAACCAGCCTGAGCAAGAGCGAGACCCCGTCTCTACTAAAAATAGAAAGAAATTAATTGGCCGACTAAAAATATATAGAAAAAATTAGCTGGGCACGGTGGCGCATGCCTGTAGTCCCAGCTACTCCTGAGGCTGAGGCAGTAGGGTCTCTTGGGCCCAGGAGATTGAGGTTGCCGTGAGCTAGGCTGACGCCATGGCACTCACTCTAGCCTGGGCAACAAAGCGAGACTCTGTCTCAAAAAAAAAAAAAAAAAAGAGGTAATTAGGTTAATGAGGTAATATGGGTGGGCCCTAATCTAATCTAATTGGTGTCTTTAAAGAGACTTATAACAGTGTCCTTATAAAAAAGGAGATGAGTAGTGGCAATGACAGAGTCACCAGGGATATGGGCAGACACAGAGAAAAGGCCACTCGAGGGTGCAGTCCTATAAAGAAGAAACTAAACTTACTAACATCTTGATCTTGGACTTATAACCTCCAGAGGTATGAGAAGATAGACTTTTGTTGCTTAAGCCACCCAGTCTGTGGTATTTTGTTTTGGTAGTCCCAGCAAACTAACACAGATTTTTATGACTTATTCCTTCAATGCAATATATAACTACTCAGAGTAGAAAAATACTAGTAAGTGCTAAAATTTACTCTTTTTGCTCTTATATGAATTTAGAGTCATGTAAATATAGTTGGAGTGCAGTGATTTATTTTTTATTTTTTTAGTATATGATTTTAAGTTATTTTAAACTATATTACCTTATCAGCAAGTGTATCTTCCTTCTTTCATTTATTTTATTTTTTTTTAATTTTTTATTTTTTTTGAGACAGAGTCTCGCTTTGTTGCCCAGGCTAGAGTGAGTGCCGTGGCGTCAGCCTAGCTCACAGCAACCTCAGTCTCCTGGGCTCAAGTAATCCTCCTGCCTCAGCCTCCCGAGTAGCTGGGACTACAGGCATGCGCCACCATGCCCGGCTAATTTTTATATATATATATTAGTTGGCCAATTAATTTCTTTCTATTTATAGTAGAGACGGGGTCTCGCTCTTGCTCAGGCTGGTTTCAAACTCCTGACCTCGAGCAATCCGCCCGCCTCGGCCTCCCAGAGTGGTAGGATTACAGGTGTGAGCCACCACGCCCGGCCTGTAGATGGGTACTGAAGATGCATCAGTAGCAAGGCAAAATCCCTACCATAATGGAGTGTACATTCTACTAACGGAGACAACAATAAACAAGTAAATAAGTAAATATATGGTATATCATAAGGTGATGAGTGTTCTGGGAGATATGGTATTCCAAGGTAAGGGAAGGAGATTGTTATTTGCTATCTAGTGGTCAGGGTAGCACTCTCTAATAAGGCAGTTTCAGCAGAGACCTGAATGAAGAGCAAACTATGGTGACATCCTGGGAAAATATATTCTAAACAGTGGGAATAGCAAGTGGAAAGGCCCTGAGGAGAAAATGTATGCTGTTCCTTGCACAAGTATGCTTGGTTTGTGCAAGAAACTGCAGGAAGACCAGAGTGCCTGGAGGAAGTAGAGGAGGCAAGACAGGAAAGGGGCTGAAGATCACTGCAAGACTTGGACTTTCACCTACATGAGCCAGGAAGCCA